TGCCTGGCCCACTGTGCTTTATTAATACCAACCTCTCATTTGAACCCCATGACAAAGGAACTGATTATCTCCATTTTACAGACAAGGAAATTGAGGCACAGGGAAGTTATGTGATTTGCCCAGAATCCCATACCTGCTCCACGGTAGAGGCAGGCTCCAAATCCTTACGCTCTGATTCCAGAGTCCTTGTGTGTTTCACCACCAGGCAGTGCTACCAAATCTCAGTAAATCCTCACAATGACCTGATCACAACTTTGCAAATGAGGAAACCCAGGTATACAGAGGTCAAGTCACATGCCCAGGATCATGCTAATAGAAACTAGTAGATTTGGGTCTGGGAGCGGTGGCTCTTGCCTGCTATCTGAACACTTTGGGAGGCCGAGGCAGGTGGATCACCTGGAGACAGGAGTTCGAGATCAGCCTGGCCAATATGGTAAAACACCATCTCTACTTAAACACACAAAAAAAGTAGCCAGGCATGGCAGTATGCGCCTATAATTCCAGCTACTCGGGAGGCTGAGGCAAGAGAATTGCTTGAAGCCGGGAGGCAGAGGTTGCAGGGAGCTGAGATTGTGCCACTGCACTCTAGCCTAGGTGACAGAACAAGACTTTGTCTCCAAAAAAAAAAAAAAAAAAAAAAGAATTCCTAAGCCTCAGTTTCCTCATCTGTAGAATGGCGCTGTTGAGAAAAGTGACGAGTTAATAATGTTCAGGAAATTCTTAGGGCAGCGAGCCCTGCTGCTGTTGCATTGATTTCCTCTGACCCAGAGCCCATCCACTGAACTTAGGTGTCCTCAAATAAGGCATTTTGGGCATCCCCTGCAAAGGGAGGCCTGTGAGAGGTCTCCTGTCAGAGCTACTCTGCCACGGCCATCCCCCCAAATAAGGAGTCACAGCAAGGCACCTACCTCCAGAGGGGTGAAGTCATGATTGACCAGGAACGCCAGGATGGCTGTGGGAATGACAAGGAACTCCACTCTGAATGTGTCATGGTTCCCATCATAAGTGGCTTTGAATTTGCTATAAATCATCCAGACCGTGGTGAAGGAGCAGGCTATGTAGACCACCTGAGGAGGGGGGTGATGAGAAGGGGCCTCAACTCACAGGCTAGGGCCTGTGCCCCAGGAGGCTCTCACCCAGGAATCCAGGCCCCCAGCCCCTCCTCCCTCAGACCCGGGAGTCCAGGCCCCCAGCCCCTCCTCCCTCAGACCCGGGAGTCCAGGCCCCCAGCCCCTCCTCCCTCAGACCCGGGAGTCCAGGCCCCCAGCCCCTCCTCCCTCAGACCCGGGAGTCCAGGCCCCCAGCCCCTCCTCCCTCAGACCCGGGAGTCCAGACCCCCCCAACACCTCCTCCCTCAGACCTAGGAGTTAGGGACCCAAACCGGCTCCTCTGCCTCAGAGGGTCCCAGAGAGGTGGAGTGGAGCCTCTACCTTCATGCAGGTGTTGTAGAGTGAGATGTAGTTGGTGAAGAGGTCCAGATATCGGGCAGTGAACACCACAGCAAACAGGACCTGGCTCTTCCCTGAAATTCCTGTGGTCCAGAGAGAGAAAGTGGGAGAGAGGAGGCTGGGGATGGACTGCAGGGGCAATAAACTCAGGCACAGCGCCCGGGACCAGCCTGGAGGCAGCTCTGGAGTGCAGCTGTCCCTGGAGGCCTCCCCAACCCGCCCCGCCTGAACAGGGCTCTTTCCCACGGCCCACAGCCAGGGGGCAGTCCAGGCCCCCGAAGCTACTCCAGCCCGAGGCTCCGTCCCAGACTAGGCCTCAGGTCCAACCCTTGCCCCCTCAGGGTCCTCCCGAAGTCCGGACCCGAGGTGGGCCCTAGGGGGAACCTATTCTGATCTCAGCCCCCCGATCCGGTCACCTCCCTCCCGTTCCCTTCCTGGCCACCACTGTCCACGTCACCAACTCACAGCCACATCCCTGCCTGCAATGGTTCCCTGTTCCCGGTCCCTGAACCCTCGGGCTGCCCGGATTGGGGCTGGGGCTGGCTGAATTGGGGGCCTAAAGACATCCACATCAAACTGTGTATGCACTCCCGCCAGTCTGGGGGAGGAAGCTGATCCCCTGGCGACCCAGAACGTGGAAGAGAGGTCCCCAGCAAGCAGTAGGAGGAGGAACCTGTGCCCCAGTGCCCCCAAACCCTTCCTGAGTCCTGGGACGCCCCCCAACCCCCGCCCACAATCTGTCTCCTTCGCCAGCCCTGGTGGGCCTCTCACCTGCACACGAGCGGGACTTCCAGATTTTGAGCAATAGCAAGATGATAGCGAGGAGGTGGGAGAGGTCTCCCAGAAATCGGAAGAGATTCATGGCTGGGGGGGCCTGGCAGGGCTGAGCGGGAGGGAGGCAGGCTGGCGGGGGGCTGCCCCCCGAGGCTGCTGGTCTGGCCGGGCGGTTGGGCTAGGGGGACGGGAGAGGGACCCTAGGTGCGCTCCGCTCCGGGGAGGGGGCTCTGGGAGGCGGGGAGAAGAGGCCGGAGCTGGCGGCCTAGCAGTAGCCGGGAAGAGGGAGGAGAGCGGGAGCGGGAGGAGTCCGGGCTGGGAGGCTCCGCCCCCGAGGGCGGGGCCCGGATCCCCAGCGCCCCCTATCGCCCATCTCCTGCCTTGTCGTCGCGGCGCTACCCCCTAGGGGCTACCCCTTAGGAACTTGGGATGGTCGCAGGGTTCGGAAAGTGCCAAATCCGGCACCGGTTCGCACAGGCAGTCTGTGTCTCTGGAAGGTACGGAGTCCAGTACACCGCCCTCAGCCCCAGCAGGGATATAGAGGCTGCCTTCTGAGCCTGAGGGACCCGGAGGCTCAGCTGCCAGCTTCTGCCCCTTGCAGGTCCTTTGGCGCCAGTCCCCCAGAAGACAAGAAAGATACCCCACCCACTTCCTACCCTAGACCCAGGACTCAAGGTCCAGCCCGTTCGTCAGACCCAGAAGTCCAGGCTCCCAGCCTCTCCTCCTCAGACCCAGGAGTCCAGGTCCCAGCCCCTCCTTCAGACCCAGGAGTCCAGGCCCCCAGTCCCTCCTCCCTCAGACCCAGGAGTCCAGGCCCCCAGCCCCTCCTCCCTCAGACCCAGGAGTCCAGGTCCCAGCCCCTCCTCCCTCAGACCCAGGAGTCCAGGTCCCAGCCCCTCCTCCCTCAGACCCAGGAGTCCAGGTCCCAGCCCCTCCTCCCTCAGACCCAGGAGTCCAGGTCCCAGCCCCTCCTCCCTCAGACCCAGGAGTCCAGGTCCCAGCCCCTCCTCCCTCAGACCCAGGAGTCCAGGTCCCAGCCCCTCCTCCCTCAGACCCAGAAGTCCAGGTCCCAGCCCCTCCTCCTCAGACCCAGGAGTCCAGGGCCCCCAGCACCTCCTCCCTCAGACCCAGGAGCCCAGGGCCCCCAGCACCTCCTCCCTCAGATCCAGGAGTCTAGGGCCCCCAGCACCTCCTCCCTCAGATCCAGGAGCCCAGGGCCCCCAGCACCTCCTCCCTCAGACCCAGGAGTCCAGGCCCCCAGCCCACCTCTTTCCTAGGACCCTGTTCCTTGGAACTTAGGGTCCCATCCGCACCATCTTATGGCTCAAAACTTCCTAACCTTAAGAATCTAGATCTACATTTTCTTTCTCCCTTTATGACTCACAGATTTGGGCCCCAATTCTCTTCTTTTCCAAGAATGTGCACCTCACCGTGCTCTCCCAGACCTTGAGGATGAAGGAAACAAAAGCCCCACCCAGGAGGCTCAAGGCCAAAACTCTGACCCAAACTACCTCGGGAGCCCCTGGCCCTGGCTTCCCCCCTGCTCCAGAATTTCAGCCCTGCCCACACACACACACACACCCTCTCCCACCCTCACACCCTCCTACCTCAGACCCAGGAGTCCAGGACCCCCAACTCCTCCTCCCTCAGACCCAGGAGTCCAGGATCCCCAACTCCTCCTCCCTCAGACCCAGGAGTCCAGGACCCCCAACTGCTCCTCCCTCAGACCCAAGAGTCCAGATCCCCAACTCCTCCTCCTTCAGACCCAGGAGTCCAGGACCCCCAACTCCTCCTCCCTCAGACCCAGGAGTCCAGATCCCCAACTCCTCCTCCCTCAGACCCAGGAGTCCAGGATCCCCAACTCTTCCTCCCTCAGACCCAGGAGTCCAGGACCCCCAACTCCTCCTCCCTCAGACCCAGGAGTCCAGATCCCCAACTCCTCCTCCCTCAGACCCAGGAGTCCAGATCCCCAACTCCTCCTCCTTCAGACCCAGGAGTCCAGATCCCCAACTCCTCCTCTTCAGACCCAGGAGTCCAGATCCCCAACTCCTCCTCCCTCAGACCCAGGAGTCCAGATCCCCAACTCCTCCTCCTTCAGACCCAGGAGTCCAGATCCCCAGCCCCTCCTCCCTCAGACTCAGGAGTCCAGATCCCCAGCCCCTCCTCCCTCAGACTCAGGAGTCCAGATCCCCAACTCCTCCTCCCTCAGACCCAGGAGTCCAGATCCCCAGCCCCTCCTCCCTCAGACTCAGGAGTCCAGATCCCCAGCCCCTCCTCCCTCAGACCCAGGAGTCCAGATCCCCAGCCCCTCCTCCCTCAGACTCAGGAGTCCAGATCCCCAACTCCTCCTCCCTCAGACCCAGGAGTCCAGATCCCCAACTCCTCCTCCTTCAGACCCAGGAGTCCAGATCCCCAGCCCCTCCTCCCTCAGACTCAGGAGTCCAGATCCCCAACTCCTCCTCCCTCAGACCCAGGAGTCCAGATCCCCAACTCCTCCTCCTTCAGACCCAGGAGTCCAGATCCCCAACTCCTCCTCCCTCAGACCCAGGAGTCCAGATCCCCAACTCCTCCTCCCTCAGACCCAGGAGTCCAGATCTCCAGCCCCTCCTCCCTCAGACTCAGGAGTCCAGATCCCCAGCCCCTCCTCCTTCAGACTCAGGAGTCCAGATCCCCAGCCCCTCCCCATGTGTCCTGCCCATGCTCTACCTCAGAGCTGCACAGTAGCTTTACAAAAGTGCCAGGCCCAGCCCTCTAGTAGGAGGGGAATGGTGGGGGGGGGAACAGCCTGTGGTCTGGACTCCTGCGTCTAGGAGGGGACAGATGCTGCTTCCCTTCTGGATGAGGGGTACCCACAGGTGATGGAGGCCAGGGTCCCTCAAAAAAGGAAGGGGCGCAGGCACGTTGGTTTCTTCAGAGGGTTGGAAGGACTGGGTGCCCAAGGGTGACATCCATGAGTCTTGGGTCCCTGAGGATGGCTTGTACTGGGGGAGAGTCAGACTTGGAGGGTCCCCAAATTCCTCAGTCCCCTTGGAGAAGGGACTGCCGGGTCTGAGGGAGGAGGGGCTGGGGGGCGGGACTCCTGGCTCCAGGGTGGAGACCTTGTTTTTCAGGCCTGGACTTCTGGGGCAATAAAAGCGACAGACTGGGTCTTAGTATGGCGAACCCTGAAGTCAGGGAAAGGTCTTCTGTTTCCAGAGCCTCAAGGCAGGGAGGGGGCAGAGGGCAGCCACCCCCGGCCCTGGAGTCTAGCTCTGAAGCTGATGTCTCCATACCTGGTTCTGCGCCTCTGCCTGCCCCCCACCAAGCCTGACTTCTTCCTCCCATTTTATTTTCAGCCCCCTCACTCCCTCGTCCCAGGAGGAAGGCAGAGGCTGGTAGCTGGGGCGGCGGGCGGCCCCTTCCCCAAGCCCTGGCAGGAGGAGGGGTCCCCAGGGAGGCCAGGAGGGGGGGCTATGGGTCTCCCGGCAGTGGCGGACGGGGACTGAATGTTAATCGCATCCCGAGTGAGTGTGTGTGTGTGAGAATACAGCGAGTGTGCGAGTCCCTCCCGCTCCGGCTCCTCCAAGCCGCGGCCGCCGCCGCCACCCTCGCCCGCAGCCTCCCGCAGCCTCCCTCGGCCACCGGTGCCCGGCTGGGGGGTGTCGCCTGGGTGGGTCCGCCCGGCCCCCAGGGGTCCCTCGAGCGTCTGCCATCTGCCCGGTGAGGATCTGTGTGTCCGGGTGTCAGGCTGGCTGGTGGAGGGGGGGTGTGTCTGTAAGGGCTGCGGCGGCCCAGGGAGGGAGGGGTCTGTCTGTACCGACCCTGAGCCGCCTGCCTGGGTGTCGTGGGCGCCCCTACTCCTCCCACCCCAGCCCCCCAAACCCAGATGGGTGGTGTGTACCTGGGTTCTGTGTCTCCTGCCTTCGTCCGGCCAGGCGTCTGGGCGTCCCCGGCTGCCTGTGTCCTCCTGTCTGTCCAAACAGCCCCTAACGGCAGTGGCAGCCTGGCCCCCATTAGACCGCCCCCCCCCCGTGTGTGTGTGTGTCCCTCCTCAAGCTCTGGGGGTGTTGAGGGGGAATCCCAGGGAAGTGAGGTCGTGCGTGTGTGCGTGAGTGTATGTGTGTGTTTCTGCCTGTGTTTGAGAGTGGGGGCGTCGAGGGGGGGTCTGGAGGTGGCCAAGCGAGGAAGGAGCAAGCAGTTCCCCAGGCAGGCAATCTCCCGCTCCTCACACACACACACACACACACACACACACACCAGCCACCAGCTTCAGAGGTGACCCAGACAGACAGACAGACACAGACGCTGGAGGTGAGGGTGGGGGGGCGCTGAGGGCACAAAGTGGGGGTGCGAATGAGCCAGAGAGAGGCGGGACTGGACACATGGAAAGTGGGGAGGAGCCCGGGCTGAAGCAGCAGAGGGGGGCACCCCAGGTGGGCGGAGGGGGGATCCCCATGGGGTCGAGGCAGCAAGAGGACACCCCGACAGCCTCTGCAATGTCCGGGGCCCAACTTCCAAAGCAACATGTGTAGCCACGTCCTCCCCTAGTCCAGGTGGCCGCAACCTTGGGGGACAGACAGGGCAGGACAAGACCAAGGAAGAGGAAGGAGAGACAGAGCCAGGGACAGACAGGAGGTCCCGGCCGCCGCTGCCGCCACCACCACCGCTGCTGCCGCCCAGGGGCCTGCCCCCCCACATCGGCTCTCTGAGCCCTACTCGGAATCTTGGGGTCGCTGGATGCCGGGTTCCGGTCCTGGCTCCCCACAATCCCCCCCACAGAACAGGGTCATGAAAAGGTAAGGCGGGGACGGGATGCAGGGGTGGTGGTGGGAATGTGGACCCCCAAATCTAGGACGGGGAAGTTGGCCAGGAGCCTCATGGGAGTGGGGTAGAATGGTGGGCAGGGGTCTTGGCCCCCACCTAGCTACCCTGTCCCTCAGGGATTCTCTCCACCCTCTCTCTCTCTGTCTCTCTGAGCCCCTTTTTCCTGGGTCCCCATACCTCAGATCTTTCCCGCCCCCCATTTCTCTGACACTTGGCTCCCTCTCCCCAGCCCCACATACCTGATGCCCCATATCCCTTTCCCTCCATCTCTCATCTCACCCTCTCTCTGCACCCCATCCCTGCATCAGTGTCCCCCATCGCCGGCCGGTCCTCTCCCTCTCTCCTCTCGCTCTCGCCTCCCATGTCAGAGCTATGAGTCTGCTATTAATACCCCTGCCAAGGACCTTGAGGGCATCCAGGCCCCTAGCACCCCTTGCCCCAAGCTCCCACCCCTTCCTCAAGGTTCTGGAACACCCTTCCAGCCTCTTCCAAGCATCAGGATTCGGGTGGGGAGAGATGGGTGTTGTGTGTGTGTGTTGGGGGGGTGCGGGGGGAGGAATCGGGACGCCGTCTGCAGCACAACTCGAGGTTGCGGGGAGGGGGGAGCTGTTGATCAAAGTGGCCTCTCCTCCCTTCTGTGTTGGGTGCTGTATTGGGGGGCAATGAAGACAGGGACATCCTAGGAATTTCTGGCACCCTCCTCCTCCTCCCCACTTGGGGACAGGCTGTGCTATGTACAGGATCTAAGTGGGGTGACTAGGGAGGCTGGAGCTGGGGGGGGCACCCAGGAGGTTGGGAATGATGGGGTTTGAAACCAAAAGGGGATCCTTAAGGGAGGAGAGGGGCAGGAACCCCGACTCCTGGGTTTTGGGGAAAGAAAGGAGCTGGGGACCTGGACTCCCAGTTCCTGTGGGGAGAGAAGGCTGGGCACTGGAGTTCCAGAGTCTTGGGGCAGGAGGGGTCCGGCCTCCTGGGTCCTGGGAAAGAACAGGACTGAATGCCCAGACTTCCAAGGGCTGAGGGAGGAAGGGGCTGCCGGCAGGACTCCTGGGTCTTTACAGAAGGAGGCAGGGGGTAGGGCTTCTGACGAAGGACAGGCTTAGGAGCTCAGTCTCCTGAGTCCCTGACAGGGCAGGGGACAGGAGTCGAGGACTTTAGCCCGGTGCAGATGGAAGTGGAAACGGAGGCTCAAGAAGAGGTGGAGACGGAGGGGAGGGTGGGGGGGGTGTTGAGGGGCTGGACTCTGTGATCCCTGCGGGCGTGGGTTCTGGGGGTTGGGCCTTCAGAGTCCTGGAGAACTGGGGATGCCCCTCCTCAGTCCCTGAACCAGGGAGGCTGTTCTCCCTAATCCCTATGGGAAGAAACTGAGCATGCAGCCCCCCTGAGAAGGGTGGGGCCTGGGCTGCCCTCCTGGACCTCAGCAGGAAGCGGGACCCAAGGTCCCTAAGAGCAGAAGCCAGGTAGGGGTGGGTCTAGGAGAGGCAGAGGAGGGGCTGGAGGGTGAGCAGCCACTGGGAAGGGAGGGGAGCGAGAGTGTTAACCCCGCGGGGGCCAGGCCACAGCTGTGGGTTATTTTGGGGCGGAGTGGGGGGGTTATTCTGAGCACTGATTGAGCCAGCTGCTTGGGGAAGGGCAAGGGAGAGGAGGGGCGAAGAGAAGCCAGGATCTGGGAGGGATGGGCATACTAGGAGCCCCCATCCCCTTCCCTGGGGAAGACAGGGGCCCGGGATCTCTGGGAAGGTGAGGTGGTGGACAGAGGGGAGGGGCTGTGGGCCTTTCCCCTACCCTGGCAGTCTGTGGGGTGGACGAGGCCTTCGCTACCATGGCAACCAGACAGGAGCCTGACTGACAGCCAGGAGAGAACCCTCCCCCGTCTGGACCCTCACCCCTTCAGGAAGCCCCTAGTGCAGACGCCAGTCCTTCTCTGGGACCCAGGAGTCCAGACCCCCAGTGCCCTCCTCCCTCAGTCCCAGGCAGGACCCAGGAGACTGGCTCCCAGCCCAACCACCCCAGGCAGCTAGTATTCAACAGGGGGCCCAGGAAGAGAGACTGTTTTTCCTCTAATTTACCAAATTGATCCGGGCTGGGGGCCAGGGACCCCCGCCCCCAGCTCTCCACAGCAGTGCCCCCCAACTCCACATCCCAGCAGGGGCCATGACTCTCTTGCTTTGAGAATGAGGGGACAGGGACAGGAGTAAGGGGACAAAATGGGTTAGGGGTTGTGGTCAGGGTGAAGGGTAAGGTCATGTGGGCATTTTCTTTCCTTGGGGTGCCCCACTAATTTCTCTTTCTCTTTCTCTCTCTCTCCCCACACACCTGACCCCTTTTCCCTCTCTCGTTTTTTCTCTCCCTTTTCCTCGCTTTTATTTCTGCTCTCTCCTGCCAATCGCCTTCCCCGCCTTACTTTCATGTCTGTGCTGGGCACCTCCCTGGTGGGGGTCCCCATCTTGGCCTTGCCTCGCTATTTCTGTCCTCCTGTTTGCACTCTGCTTTGCCTGCCTCCCTCAATCTCAATTCCGTGTCCCCATCCCTTATGTGTGTGTGTCTCTTGGTGGACTTGGAGTCTCTGTCTCCCTCTTCCTGGCTTGCCTTCTGTCTTCTTCTCTGTCCAACTTTCTTGTCTCGCGTATCTCTCCCGCCTTCCCGCATCTCTCCCCGCCTCTATCATCCTCTCCCTGGGCCTCCCTCACTCCCGTTTCTGCCACTCCATTCTGTCTTCTCCCTGTCTCTGTTGCTTCTTCCGTCTCTCTCCTTCTTCCTGGCGCTCTTTCCCTCCCCATCTCCCTGGATCTCTCTGCTCCAATCTGTGGGTCTCCCCATCCCCATCCTGTCTATTGCCCTCTCTCTCTCTCCCCTTACCTCTGTATCTTCCCCTGACCCCATCATCCACCCTCTTTTTTACGTCTCCCCCAATCCCATACTCCACTTCTTCCTATCTCTGTATCGCCCTATCTCTGCGTCTCCCCGTTTCACCTCTTCCTTTGCCTGGCGTTTGTTCTCACCTCGCCCCTCCACCTTCCTCTGCTGTGTCTGTCTCTCCCCGTGTCTCTGCCTGTCTCTCTCCCCTCCATCTCTCTCGTCCTCCGCGTGTCTCTCCCTCTGTTATCACCCCAACCGCTCCCTGTCCTCCCCTTCTCTGCGCCTGTCCCTCGCTGCATCTCCTCCTCTGTGCGTCTCTCTATCTCGTCTCCCTGTCTCTGCGCCTCCCCGTCTGTGCCTCCCTCTCCTTCCCGTCTCTCCCGGGCGCTCAGAGGCCGCCCCGCGGGGCCCGCAGGCGATGCGCGGCGCCGGTGGCCCCCGCGGCCCTCGGGGCCCCGCTAAGATGCTGCTGCTCCTGGCGCTGGCCTGCGCCAGCCCGTTCCCGGAGGAGGCGCCGGGGCCGGGCGGGGCCAGTGGGCCCGGTGGGGTCCCCGGCGGGGCGCGGCCGCTCAACGTGGCGCTCGTGTTCTCCGGGCCCGCATACGCGGCCGAGGCGGCGCGCCTGGGCCCCGCCGTGGCGGCCGCCGTGCGCAGCCCGGGCCTGGACGTGCGGCCCGTGGCGCTGGTGCTCAACGGCTCGGACCCCCGCAGCCTCGTGCTGCAGCTCTGCGACCTGCTGTCGGGGCTGCGCGTGCACGGCGTGGTCTTCGAGGACGACTCGCGCGCGCCCGCCGTCGCGCCCATCCTCGACTTCCTGTCGGCGCAGACCTCGCTGCCCATCGTGGCCGTGCACGGCGGCGCCGCGCTCGTGCTCACGCCCAAGGTGCGCGCGACCGGGGCGGGGGCGGGGCCACAGGAGAGGCGGGGCAAGCCGCTGGGGGGCGGGTCTGGGACATTCAGCAGGGACGTGGCCTGGAGGGGGCGGGGCCAGTTATGTGGGTCCGCGTCTGGGACAACGCGGGCCCAGACAGCAGGCAGGGCTTCGGGCTAGGTAAGAGGCCAGGCTGACTTGGAGGGGGCTGGTCTATAGGGTAAGATGGGCCTTCAGGGTCAGAAAGAGGCCAGTCCTCCATGATCAGAGTATAGGGAGGACGTGGGCCCATTCATTGTAGGTAAGGGACGGTGGAAAAGGCAAGTCAAGAGAAGGGTTAGGGACTGGGGACGAAAAGGGAGCAACCCCAGATGGCAAAATCTGAGGGAAAGGTGGGATCTAGGATCAGCGCGGGAAGAAGTCAGTTGAAAAGGAATGGGACCCGGGCGCGGTGGCTCACGCCTGTAATCCCAGCACTTTGAAAAGCAGAGGCCGTCGGATAACTTGAGGTCACAGGAGTTCGAGACCATCCTGGCCAACATGGTGAAACCCCGTCTCTACTAAAAATACAAAAATTATCCGGGCGTGGTGGCGGGCGCCTGTAATCTCAGCTACTTAGGAGGCTGAGGCAGGAGAATTACTTGAACCCGGGACACAGAGGCTGCAGTGTTCGTGCCATTGCACTCTATCTACCCTGGGCGACACAGTGAGACTTAGTCTCAAAAAAAAGAAAGAAAGAAAATGAATGGCGTTCAGAAATAAAGGGGCGAGTCTTGTGGAGAAGTGGGAGCCAGGAAATATCAGAGGTATAGCGGAGGACAGAGTTTGGGGAGGGGTTGGCCGGTTGAGCACGGTCTAGAGGTCGGCCAGGGATGCAGGAGCCATCTTCTAAGAGGAGGAGTTGGAAAAGGGGAGGAGTCATTACAGAGAAGAGGATGGGCAAGGGAAAGAACCAAGAAGCAAAAATCGAGGTTTAGGGCGAGGCCAGTCAGAGGAGTGAGTCAAAAAAGGGGGAGGGGCTAGCCAGTTGGGGGCGAGGCCTGGGAGGAGGCGGGGCCTAAGCACTCTAATAAAGGGTGGGTCTGGAGAGGAAGCCAGTCCTGAGAGTAGTGTTTGAGAAGGGACATTCCTCACTGTGAGGTGTGGAAAGCGAGTCCAGAGGGTGGGCAGGAAAATGAAGGCTTACGGTGGAGGCGGACCCAGCCAATGAGTGGTCAAAGCCAGGAGCCTGCTGGGGAAGAGATGGCAGAGGCTGGAGCTAGCCGGAGCCTGGAGAAAGGCCTGACTCCCAAGAGCACAGAAGGGGCAGTTGTAGCGGACCTCAGGTAGAGAAGGAGAAAACTGGACCAAGCCTGCTCTGTGGATTGAGAAGAATGGGTCAGCTAGAAGGTGGGGCCTGAGAAGGGGCGGGGCCTCTCCAGAAGTGGGGCCAGTGCAACCCAGAGGATGGAGCCACCTGAGTGGGTGGAGCTTCCTTCAATCTGCCCATTCCCTGCTGTGCGTCCGGTGGTTGTGTGACTGCATCACTATTGTATGCAGAGATTCTTAGTCCTCTCCTGTTCAGAGCGTTCTGGGAAGGACCTCTGTCCAACTTTCTTGTTCTCCTTGGCATGGTACTTTAAAGAGATGCGTAGGCAGATGCCCTGGGAGGCGAACTTATTTCTTAACTACCATTTCCGAGGCGTAGTCCCTCCTGCCTTCATTGCTGCCAAGAAGTGTGGTCCGCTCTGTTTCAATGTTGGCTGGGCACTGTGGTCAGCTCGGTTTATGCCCATAGCATTCTGGGAAATGTAGTCCCCTCTCTGCCACTGGATGGAAGAAAGAGTGGTCTTCACAGCTCCATCTGTGCCCCATTGAATACTGGGAATGTGGTCCCCTCAGCACACCTCCACCTGCTAAAGGAAGAGGTTCTCGTTTGTTACAATAAGGCCTCATTTCTGGCCAAGTGCGGTGGCTCACGCCTGTAATCCCAGCACTTTGGGAGGCCGAGGCAGGTGGATCACCTGAGGTCAGGAGTTTGAGATCAGCCTGGCCAACATGGTGAAACCCCATCTCTACTAAAAATACAAAAATTATCCAGGTGTGGTGGCGGGCACCTGTAATCCCAGCTACTCAGGAGGTTGAGGTATGAGAATCGCTTGAACCCAGGAGGCAGAGATTGCAGTGAGCTGAGATCATGACACTGCACTCCAGCCAGGGGGACAGAGTGAGGCTCAGTCTCAAAACAAAAACAAGAAAGACCTTATTCCCTCAGGACAACTGTGATATCCCCTACACATTTTCTCATAGGCATGCACCTAGGGAGAAAGCCCACTCGCTGTTCTCATTGCATTACAGGAAGATTTATTGAGAGCTGATTCAGTGCCCAGGCTGTTTTAATTCCTCGGGAATACAGTTCTGGGGGCAGGGGAAGAGAGAGAGAAACCAGGTCCCTGCCTTATAGAGCTTGCATTTTAATGGTGAGACAGACAAAACCAGTAACAGTAAAATCTGGCCTCCCAGAGGAAGTCTGCAGGATGCTGTAATGACTGAGGATGGAGTTTCAGTCACAGGCAGTCAGGGGAGGCCATCCTGAGGCAGGGACACCTGAGCTGCGGGTGTCAGGTGGAGGTCTGGTATGGAGGAGCTGGGAAAAAGTGTCCCCAGGAGAGGCAAAAACTAAGGACAAAGCCCTTGAAGCAGGAAGGAGCTTGATGTATTTGAGGAAGAGAAAGAAGGGAGTGTGGCAGGAGCCCATTGGGGGTTGGGGTGGCAGGAGATGAGGTCAGAGAAGCAACAGGGGCCAGTTCATGCAGGGCCTTGGAGCCCCAGTGAGGACTTTGGCTTTGATTCTGAGGTAGAATCATTGGAATGTTTTCAACTGAGAAGGGATGGGATCCAATTAGTATATTGAAACAATCACTCTGGCTGCCGTTTGGAGAAGAGACTGGAAAATCCAAGATTGAAAACAGAGATGGGCTGGGCACGGTGGCTCACGCCTGTAATCCCACCACCTTGGGAGGCCAAGGCAGGCAGATCACCTGAGGTCAGGAGTTCCAGACCAGCCTGGCCAACATGGCGAAACCCAGTCTCTACAAAAATACAAAAAAAAATTAGCTGGGCATGGTGGCGCGTGCCTGTAATCCCAGCTGCTCAGGAGGCTGAGGCAGGAGAACTGCCTGAACCCAGGAGGCAGAGGTTTCGGTGAGCCAAGATCACGCCATTGCACTCCAGCCTGGATAACAAGAGCGAAACTCTGTCTCAAAAAAAAAAACCAAACAAACAAAAATTAGCTGGGCGTAGTGGCACATGCCTGTAATCCCCGCTACTCAGGAGGCTGAGGCAGGAGAATCACTTGAACCCAGGAGGTAGAGATTGCGGTGAGCCAAGATCTCTCCACTGTACTCCAGCTTGGGCAACAGAGCGAGACTCCATCTCAAAAAAAAAAAAAAAAAAAAAAAAAAAGATAAAAGGAAGACAGAGATGGGTGGGTAAGCTGTAAATAGCTGGGCAAGAAAGTGATAACAATGAGAGTTGTGACAGTGATGGATGGCACTGAGAAGCGGACAGCTGGAGCTATGTTTGAACGTAGAGCTGAGAAGACTTGGAGAGGGCTGGATGTGAGTGTCAGGGAAAGAGCAGGAAACAATGATTTAGATTTGGGACCTGAGCATCAGGGTGAATAAGCCGGGGGCAGGGGGAAATGGCGACTGCTCTTTTTTTTCTTTTTTTTTCTTTTCTTTGCGAGATGGTGTTTTGCTCTTGTTGCCCAGGCTGGAGTGCAATGGTGTGATTTTGGCTCACCGCAACCTCCGCCTCCCGGGTTCAAGACATTCTCCTGCCTCAGCCTCCCAAGTGGCTGGGATTATGGGCATGCACCGCCAAGACAGCTGCTTTTTATTCCTTTACATTCTTTGCTCCTTTACAAAAAGAGAGAGAGAAAAACCAGAACAAATTTGAGATAGGGGAAAGAGCAAGCCTTCTGGTTTTGACATGCTAATTTTGAGACACCTCTTGAAATCCAAGAGGAGATATTGAATAAAGAAAGAGGGGAATAGGGGCCGGGCGCAGGTTCACGCCTGTAATCCCAGCATTTTGGAAGGCTGAGACAGGCAGATCGCTTGAGGTCAAGAGTTCTAGACCAGCCTGGCCAACATGGTGAAACCCCATCTCTATTAAAAATACAAAAATTAGCTGGGTGTGGTGGTGCGCACCTGTAATCCCAGCTACTAGAGAGGCTGAGGCAGGAAAATTGCTTGAAGCTGGGAGGCAGAGGTTGCAATGAGCAGAAATTGAAACATTGCACTCCAGCTTGGGTGTCAGAAGAAGACTCTGTCTCAAACAAAACAAAACAAAAAACAGCAGGGGGATAGGTTTGTCTGGAGCTCACACGATAGGTTGTGACTGAGGACAGGAATCATTAGCATAACCAGCACTGTCTAATAGAACTTTCTGCAAGGATAAATGTGGTCTATAGTTGCTCTGTTCAACATGAGAGCCACAAACCACATGTGGCTGATGAGTACTTGATATGGGATTAGCACAAACAGAAAACTAATTTTAAAATTCTATTTAATATTTATTTCCTCTGATCCTTGATTCAGGATAAATTTTATTTATTTATTTATTTATTTTTGAGACAGAGTCTCACTCTGTCGCCTGGGCTGAAGTGCAGTGGGGCAATCTCAGCTCACTGTGGCCTCTGCCTCCCGGGTTCAAGCGATTCTCCTGCCTCAGCCTATCAGGTAGCTGGGACTGCAGGCGCATGCTAAATGCCCAGCTAATTTTTGTAATTTTAGTAGAGACGGGGTTTCACCATGTTGGCCAGGATGATCGTGATCTCTTGACCTCGTGATCTGCCTGCCGAGGTCTCCCAAAGTGCTGGGATTACAGGCGTGTGCCAAAACGCCCAGCCAATTTTATTTAATTTTAATTATTTTAAACTTGAATAGCTATGAGTGGCTAGCAGTCACCATATTGGATAACATGGGAGACAGTATTAAAACTCATGGGCCTGGTTGAAATCACCAGGGAGAGAGGACAGAGAAGAAAAGAGAACACTAAGGCACTCCCACATTTAGAATTCAGGCTGAGGAATAGGGTCCAGCAAAGGAGGTAGAGGAAGAGGTGACAGGAAGGAAGGTAGGAGGAAAGCCAAAGAAGGGAAAGTACACTCGCCAAAGCTTCTTCCAGCTGGGAAATACTGGCAGCACTCACATTGCATGCTGGGAGATGTAGTCTCCTCGCTGCCTGCAGGGATCCAGTCCCTCTCAGAGGCTGCTGGGGGCTGTAGTTCCTTTACTGGATACTGGTTGTATTAATGACAGTGATGTTAGTTGCTGGAACAGATGAACCCCCAAATGTCAGTGGATCACCCAACAGGAGGTTATTTTTCATTCATATAAAATCCAGGCTGGGTGTGGATTACAGGCATTCACGCCTATAATCCCAGCACTTTGGTAGGCCAAGGGGGGTGCATCACCTGAGGTCAGGAGTTCGAGACCAGCCTGACCAACATGGCGAAACTCAGTCTCTACTAAAAATATAAAAATTAACCACACATGGTGGCTACTCGGGAGGCTGAGGCAGGAAAATCACTTGAATCCAGGAGGTGGAGGTTGCAGTAGCTGAAATCATGCCACTGCACTCCAGTCTGGGTGACAGAGCAAGATTCTGTCAAAAAAGAAAGTAAGGTTTTATGGATGAGTCTAGAAAAACTCAGCCACATAGTTAAAGCTAATCCAGATCTAGCCCTGTGCCCCGGCAGGAAAAGAAGATGGGTTTAGTGAACCTATCTAGTCAGTCTGCCTTATTGGGAGCTGTGGTCCCCTTATCCGTTGCTGAGAGTTGAGGCGTCCACATCGAGAGGCCTGACATCCTCCTCCCTCCCCGGCAGGAGAAGGGCTCCACCTTCCTGCAGCTGGGCTCCTCCACCGAGCAACAGCTTCAGGTCATCTTCGAGGTGCTGGAGGAATACGACTGGACGTCCTTTGTAGCGGTGACCACGCGTGCCCCTGGCCACCGGGCCTTCCTGTCCTACATCGAGGTGCTGACCGACGGCAGCCTGGTGGGCTGGGAACACCGCGGGGCGCTGACGCTAGACCCTGGGGCGGGCGAGGCTGTGCTCAGTGCCCAGCTCCGCAGTGTCAGCGCGCAGATCCGCCTGCTCTTCTGCGCCCGAGAGGAGGCCGAGCCAGTGTTCCGGGCTGCTGAGGAGGCTGGCCTCACTGGGTCTGGCTACGTCTGGTTCATGGTGGGACCCCAGCTGGCTGGAGGCGGGGGTTCTGGGGCCCCTGGCGAGCCCCTTCTTCTGCCAGGAGGCGCCCCGCTGCCTGCCGGACTGTTTGCAGTGCGCTCGGCTGGCTGGCGGGATGACCTGGCTCGGCGAGTGGCAGCTGGCGTGGCCGTAGTGGCCAGAGGCGCCCAGGCCCTGCTGCGTGACTATGGTTTCCTTCCTGAGCTCGGCCACGACTGTCGTGCCCAGAATCGCACCCACCGCGGCGAGAGTCTCCATAGGTGAGTGGGGCTGGAATGGGAGGGGCATGGGTGGGCTCCTTCCAGAGCCTAGCTACCCGGAGTACTCACTGGATGAGTGGCTCAAATGGGTCACATCTGCTCCTCGAGCCTCAGTTTTCTTTTATGTAAAGTAGGTGTAATTGGGTCTCTTTTCCGAGGTTAAATCAAGTCATTTGGAAAAAGCATCTGAGACAAAGTGAGTGTATTACTGTATTTCATAAGATGCATAATTTTCACATTTTTAGGTCTTTGAAAACGAGATGTGCCTTATAATTGATGGCTTATCATGGCTTAATTGGCAGCACTTTTGTCTTTCTTTGTGGTACCTCTTATAATTTATAGCATTTTAGATTCACCGAAATACCTAGACTAGGAACTGAGCTTCAGTAGCAAAAAGACCCAACAATCCCGTGGCCCAAATAAGGTAGAAGTTAGTTTCTCTCTCACATAACAACCCAGAGATGAGCATTCCTGGTTATCAGGAGACTGCTGATCCATGTGATCATTCAGGGACCCAAGATCCTCCCACCTTGTTGCTCTGTCTTCTCTGCATGGTTGAAACAGGGTCGTGATCATGTCTGAATTGTAGCTCATGAGGAGGGGAAGAGAGGAAGTGGACAGCAAGCACTTTCCTTTTGAGTAAGTGAGGCAGAAGGGACATGCCTCACATCTTACTGTTGAGAAGGTAGTCACATGGTCAGGGCTGGCTTACTGGTTGTTGACAGTGGTGTCCATTTTGATTGGCTAGATGTCTGTTGGGATTGGCCAAATGTCTATTTTGATTAGCTAGACGTCTCTTCTGATTGACTAGACGTCCATTCCAATTGGCTAGACGTCCATTCTGATTTGCTTAGACGTCCATTCTGATTGGCTAGCACCCGTGCGTTGCCAATTGCTAGATAGTTTGAATATCACTCCTGCACATGGCCTAGGCCAACTGCAAGGAAGGCTGGGAAATATCAGCCCTAGCTGGACAGGTGTGTGCCCAACTTACGCACTATTATTTTAGAAGAGGAGAACAGAGTTTGTTGGAAAACAGCATCTCAACAATAGGAAGCTCTGGGAGTGGAAAAATTGATGAGTTTGGTGACAGAACAGTGAAAGGAGAGACCTTTAATCCTGAATGAGGATAAGGTGAAGTTGGAAAGAGGTGATGGGTGGGGAAGAAGACCTAAGAGAGGAGAATTGAGAACTGGAGGATTGAGAATCAGGATCCCCTCAAAGAGGGTGAGAAAAGCATCCCTTCTTCATAAATACTTACTGAGCACCCGCTAGGAACTAGGGCTCATGCTGGGCGCTGGGAACACAGATGAATGAGACCATGGACTTATTCTTCAAAGAACACAGTTTCTTGTAAGGGTGGCAGACAGGGACGGGGATAATGGCAACGCAGCGTGATTCTTGCAGTAATGGAGGTCGCACGGGCATGGCGGGGGCATGGGGAGGAGCACTGGCTAAGCCAGGACATTTTTGGTTGCGTGAAGCAGAGTCTCATTCGAGTTTCCTTAGGAAAAAGGAGGTTTACTGGGAAAAATAAACAGAGGAACGCAGAAGCCAGAAATTGAGGCTAAGCCTGGGGCCAGCTACTCTTTTAGCTCTTTCTGTTTTTGTTGTTGTTTCGTTTTGTTTTGTTTGAGACAGAGACTCACTCTGTCGCCCAGGCAGGAGTGCAATGGTGGGATCTTGGCTCACTGCAACCTTCGCCTCCCGGGTTCAAGCAATTCTCCTGCCTCAGCCTCCTGAGCAGGGGGGATTACAGGCATGTGCCACACTCCTGGCTATTTTTTATTTTTTTTTTATTTTTAGTACAGACGGGATTTCACCATGTTGGTCAGGCTGGTCTCAAACTCCTGACCTCAAATGATCTGCCCACCTTGGCCTCCCAAAGTGCTGGGATTCCAGGTGTGAGTGACCGCACCCGGCTGGTTCTGTCTTTCTTACTCTGCCTTCTCCCTCCCTCCCTCTGTCTCCTCCCTCTCTCTCCCTTTCTCTTTGTTTCTCAGTCTTGCCTCTCCCAGAGGCTGTTCAATTCTTTACCCAGAACTTCTGCCCCCTCATAATTTCAGCTCTCGTTGGCTACAACTCATCCCTCCAGATCTCATTCCAAAATGTCATTGCAAGAGAGGAAATGTATTAGCCTCAATCAGCCTTCCACACCAGGGCGCACAAGTCACAGGTCAGCCTATGGAGTCAGGAAGGTTTCTTTTTTTTTTTTTTTCAGATGGAGTCTCACTCTGTCTCCCAGGCTTGAGTGCAGTGGTACGATCTTGGCTCACTGCAACCTCCACCTCCTAGGTTCAGGTGATTCTCTTGCCTCAGCCTCCTGAGTAGCTGGGATTACAGGCGCGCGCCACCATGCCCAGCTAATTTTTTGTATTTTTAGTAGAGACGGGGTTTCACCATGTTGCCCAGGATGGTTTGGAACTCCTGGGAGTCAGGAAGGTTTCTAGGAGGAGATATCTGAGCTGTGACCTGAGGGATGAACTGCTCATTGATTCATTTATTGATTGAAATGCCCTTTTTTGAAAGTATACTATGACTTGGCATAGTAGCTCATGCCTGTAATCCCAGCACTTTGGGAGGCCAAGGTGGACAGATCACCTGAGGTCGGGAGTTCGAAACCAACCTAGCGAACATGGAGAAAGCTAAAAATCCAAAATTCTACTAAAAATCCAAAATTCACTGGGTGTGATAGCGCATGCCTGTAATCCCAGCTACTCAGGAGACTGAGGCAAGAGAATCACCTGAACCCGAGAGATCGAGGTTGCGGTGAGCCAAGATCGTGCCATTGCACTCCAGCCTGGGCAACAAGAGCAAAATTCCATCTCCAAAAGAAAAAAAGAAAAGAAAGTCTACTATGTGCCAAGCATTGCTTTAGACACAGAGTATATATCGTGTTAAATAAGGTCCCTGCTCTCACAGAGCTTACAATCTAATAAAGCAGAAAAGCAATGAGCAAAGACATAAAGAAAATATCAAGCAGATGATAACTTCTGTTATAAAAATCAAACTGGGAATGTGATAAGAAATGCGGAGGGGGCTATGCTAAGCGGGGTGGTCCGGAAAGGCCTTTCTGAATAGGTGAAATTTGGAGGTTAAAAAAAATAGATAGGCCAGGCTGTGGCTCATGGCTGTAATCTCAGCACTTTGGGAGGCTGAGGCAGGAGGTTTGCTTGAGGCCAGGAGTTCCAGGCCAGCCTGGGTAACATAATGAGAACTCCATCTCTACAAAAGAATTTAAAAATTAGTTGGGCATGGTGGTGTGTGCCACTTGGGAGGCTAAGGTGGGAGGATCACTTGAGCCAGGGAGATTGAGGCTGTAATGATCTGTAATCATTCACTGCAGTCCAGCCTGTGCAACAAAGTGAGACTGTCCTAAAAATTTTTTTTAATTAAAATTTAAAAAATGAGTAGGCCAGGTGCAGTGGCTCACACCTGTAATCCCAGTGCTTTGGGAACTGAGGTGGTGGATCACTTGAGGTCAGGAGTTCAAGACCAGCTCGGCCAACACAGTGAAACCCCATCTCTACTAAAAAGTACAAAAATTAGCCAGGTGTGGTGACATGCGCCTGTAATCCCAGCTACTCAGGAGGCTGAAGCAGGAGAATCACTTGAACCCGGGAGACGGAGGTTGCAGTGAGCAGTGATCATGCCACTGCACTCCAGCCTGGTGACAGAGTGACACTCTGTCTCAAAAAACTAAATAAATAGGCCGGGCGCAGTGGCTCAAGCCTGTAATCCCAGCACTTTGGGAGGCCAAGGCAGGTGGATCACAAGGTCAAGAGATCGAGACCATCCTGGTCAACATGGTGAAACCCCATCTCTACTAAAAATATAAAAAAATAGCTGGGCATGGTGGCGTGTGCCTGTAATCCCAGCTACTCGGGGGGCTGAGGCAGGAGAATTGCCTGAACCCAGGAGGTGGAGGTTGCGGTGAGCCGAGATCACGCCATTGCACTCCAGCCTGGCTAACAAGAGCGAAACTCTGTCTCAAAAAAAAAAAAACTAAATAAATAAAAGAAAAAGAAATGGATAAAGAGAAGGAGCCACTCATTGGAAGATCTCAGCAAAGAGAGACAGAACAGCAGATGCAAAGGCCCTGGGGCCGGAACTGCCTTCTCTCAGTCTGTTTTTTGTTGCTATGACAGAATATCATAGGCTGGGTAACTTACAATAAGTAGAAATGTGTTGGCTTGTGGTTAGGGAGGCTGGGAAGTCCAATATCAAGACATCACCGTCTGGTGAGGGTCTTCTTTCGGCATCATTACATGACAGAAGGGATCACATGGTAGAAGGGCAAAGGGAGAAGTGGGAGGAAGATCAAGCAAACGCACTCCTGCGACCACGGCGTTCGTCCAGTCGTGAAGGCAGTGGCGCCCTCATGACCTAAACGCTTATTAAAGGTTCCACCTCCCAATTTGCAACACCGTCACACTGACAGTTTATTTATTTATTTATTTTTGAGACGAAGTCTCCTTCTGTTGCCCAGGCTGGAGTGCAGTGGTGCGATCTTGGCTCACTGCAACCTCCACCTCCCGGGTTCAAGCGATTCTCCTGTCTCAGCCTGGTTGGCAGATGTGTGCCACCATGCCCAGCTAATTTTTTTTTTTTGAGATGGAGTCTCACTCTGTCGCCAGGCTGGAGTGCAGTGGCACAATCTCAGCTCACAACAACCTCTGCCTCCCGGGTTCGAGTGATTTGCCTGCCTCAGCCTCCCAAGTAGCTGGGACCACAGGCACACGCCGCCACCCCCAGCTAATTTTTTTCTATTTTTAGTAGAGATGGGGTTTTGCCATGTTGGCAAGGATGGTCTTGATCTCCTGAACTCGTAATCTGCCCACCTTGGCCTCTCAAAGTGGGGAGATTACAGTCATGAGCCACTGCACCCAGCTAATTTTTATATTTTTGTAGAGATAGGGTTTCACTATATTGGCCAGGCTGGTCTCAAACTCCTGACCTCAGGTGATCTGCCCGTCTCGGCCTCCCAAAGTGCTGGGATTATAGACATCAGCCATCGCACCCGGCTGTAAATTTCAATATGAATTTTAGGAGACAGACATCCAAATCATAGCTTACCTGTTTGAGAGCCTGAAATGCTGGTGTGGCTGCAACATAGCGGGCAAGCGGAAGGAAGGTATGAGTAGGTGACAGAGAGACTTGCAGCGCCCAGCTCACGTGGGGCCTTTAGGCCAGCGACAGGGGTTTGGGCTTATTTTATTTATTTGTTTGTTTATGAGAAGATTCCTACTCTGTCTCCCAGGCTGGAGTGCAATGGCTCGTTCTTGGCTCACTGCAACCTCTGCCTCCTAGGTTCAAGCAATTCCCCTGCCTCAGCCCCTTCTAGTAGCTGGGATTATAGGAATGTGTCACCACACCCAGCTAATTTTTGTATTTTAGTAGAGACGGGGTTTCAGCATGTTGGCCAGGCTGGTCTTGAACTCCTGACCTTAGGTGATCCACCCACCTCTGCCTCCCAAAGTGCTCCCAAAGGGATTACAGGCATGAGCCACCACACCTGAACTTTTTGGTTTTTTGTTTGTTTGTTTGTTTTGTTTTGTTTTATTTAGATGGAGTCTTGCTCTGTCGCCCTGGCTACAATGCAGTGGCCAGATCTAAGGTCACTGCAACCTCAACCTCCCTCCAGGGTTTAAGCAAGTCTCCTGAATATCTGGGATTACAGACACTGGCCACCATGCCTGGGAAATTTTTGTATTTTTAGTAAAGACAGGGTTTCATCATGCTGGCCAGGCTGGTCTCAGACTCCTGACCTCAAGTGATCTGCCCCTGCTCAGCCTCCCAAAGTGCGGGGATTACAGGTGTGAGCCACTGAACCCAGCCTGGACTTGATTCTAAGAGTAGTGGGGAGTTCACCAGAAACAGTATTCCAGTCAGGGGAAACAGCATGTGCAATAGCCCAGAGAGGAGAAAACCTTGGGCAGGTTGGGGGACCACCATAGTTCAGAGCAGATGAAGGCCACAGGATTAGGAGTTGGAGTGACAGGAGGGGTGCAGTGGCTCATGCCTGTAATTCCAGCACTTTGGAAAGCTGAGGCAGGTAGGCAGGCAGATCACAAGGTCAAGAGATTGAGACCATCTTAGCCAACACGGTGGAACCCTGTGTCTACTAAAAATACAAAAATTGGCTGGACATGGCGGCATGCACCTGTAGTCCCAGCTACTTGGGAGGCTGAGGCAAGAGAATCGCTTGAAACTGGTTGACAAGATTGCAGTGAGCTGAGATCGTGCCTCTGCACTCCAGCCTGGCGACAGAGCAAGACTCCATCTCAAAAACAAAAAAAAAGGAGTCTGAGTGACAAGCCTGGGAGGTGGGTGGCCCAAGGCCTTTGCCTTCAGTGCCAGGTTGAGAGGCCTGCATCTGTTCCATAGCACTGGCGAGCCAAGGGTGGATTATGAGCAGGGGATGAGTAGATAAGTCTGAATGAAGAAAGACCCCTCTGGGGACTGGTGGGAAACAGGATGCAGACGCTTTGCCTCAAAAGAGAGATTGGAGGCTGGAGTCCAGGCAGGAGGCTGGGATGAGGGCCCAGGAGGGCTGTGGGAAGCCACAGAAGAAGATGGGGCAGTGAGAGCCCCAGGGCAGGAAGCAGGAGACTTGGGGACCCATGGGCTGGGTGGGGGGAGGGAGGAAGGCAGATGAGAGTCTAGCCCAGTGACTGGGTGGATGACATGAGACGCAGTGGAAGTATAAAGGGTGATGTTGCACAGGGAAGATATCTAGGAGTCCAGGGACACCCCCTGCCATCTCCTGCCCTGGGCACTTCAACCCAGGGGAAGAGACATTTGAGCTCAGTGTTTAAGACACATAGAGGTGGTCATGGCTGGACACGGTAGCTCATGCTGGCAATCCCAGAACTTTGGGAGGCCAAGGCAGGTGGATTACCTGAGCTCAGGAGTTCAAGACCAGCCTGGACAGCATGACAAAACCTCATCTCTACGAATGATACAAAAATTAGCTGGTTGTGGTGGTGCGCATTTATAGTCCCAGCAGCTTCTCAGGAGGCCAAGGTGGAAGGATCACTTGAGCCTGTGAGGCGGCAGTTGCAGTGAGCCAAGATCACTCCATGCACTCCAATCTGGGTGACAAAGTGAGACCCTGTCTCAAAACAATCATAATAGTAATGATAATAATAATGAGTTGGTCAGCATAAGGGATGGCATAACAGTTTTCAGAGAGAATAGCATTTGCGAAGGCCTAGAGTTACGAAATCACTTGACATGTTTGGGAAATAACCTTGCTTCCAATGTTAACAGAGGAAAACAAAGAACTCTGGGTGCAAAGAGTTTGAGAGGGGGAAACTCTCAGAGATATGGCTTCAGAGGAAGGCAGAATCAGAACAAAAACGGACTCTAGGGGTCTAGCACGGTGATCCACACCTATAATCCCAGCACTTTGGGAGGTTAAGGCGGGAGGATCATTTGAGCTCAGGAGCTCAAGAGCAGCCTGGTAAAAATAGTGAGACCCTATCTCTAGTTAAAAAAAAAAAAAGGCTTGGTGAGGTGGCTCACACCTGTAATCCCAGCACCTTGAGAGGCTGAGGTGAGTGGATCACTTGAGGTCAGGAGTTCGAGACCCACCTGGCCAACATGGTGAAACCCCATCTCTACTAAACACACAAAAATTAGCTGGGTGTGGTGGCACACACCTGCAATCCCAGCTACTCAGGAGGCTGAGGCAGGAGAACTGCTTGAACCTGGGAGGCAGAGATTGCAGTAAGCGGAGATCACCCCACTGCACTCCAACATGAGTGACAGAGCGAGACTATCTAAAAAAAACCAAAAAAAACAAAAACAACCGAGTGAGGTGGCTTATGCCTGTAATCCCAGCACTTTGGGAGGCCAAAGCGGGCAAATCACCTGCGGTCAGGAGTTCAAGACCAGCCTGACCAACATGGAGAAATCTGTCTCTAAAAAAAAAAAAAAAAAAAAAAAAGCCAGGTGTGGTGGTGCATGCCTGTAATCCCAGCTCAGGAGGCTGGGGTGGGAGAATCACTTGAACTTAGGAAGCAGAGATTGCAGTGAGCCAGGATCACAACACTGCATTCCAGTCTGGGCAACAGAGCAAGATTCCATCTCAAAAAATGGAAAAAACAGTCAAAGCTCATCTTTACTTTAAAAAAAAAAAAGGAAAAAAGAATAAAAGGGGACTCTAGGGCCTCAACATCAGGCTGAGACTCTGAGACCTTACCTTGGGGGCCTGGGGGCATTGAGCAGCCAAGGGCAGGGTGCTGAGCAGGGAAGAAGGATATTTGCATTTTTGAGACCTTGGAGGCAAAGGAGGAGAGATTTCAGTGGGGGGCTGGGGCTGGTCAGTAGGAAGGGGACTTTCTCTCCTTCAGCTGCCAAGGTCCAGCCCAAGCCCCAGCATGTCCCCTGCCCTTCCTCCTGGGCAGGTACTTCATGAACATCACCTGGGATAACCGGGATTATTCTTTCAATGAGGATGGCTTCCTAGTGAACCCCTCCCTGGTGGTCATCTCCCTCACCAGAGACAGGACATGGGAGGTGGTGAGTCAAAGCCCAGACCACAGGCATGGTAGACAGCCTGGACTCCTGCATCCTGGCAGGGGGTGGGGCCTGAGGTCCTGGACTAAGAAGGTGGAGGGGACAGGGAGCCTGGACTCCGGGGTCCTAGGGTCCGAAGGTGGGAGGGGCTCCTGGGTCTTGGAGGAAGCTGCTGCCCACACGCCTAGGTCTGATGGAGGAGGATACCACGGGAAGTCCCCCAGGAAGCCTAACTCTCCTTCCCTTTGGCCAAGGTGGGCAGCTGGGAGCAGCAGACGCTCCGCCTCAAGTACCCGTTGTGGTCCCGCTATGGTCGCTTCCTGCAGCCAGTGGATGACACGCAGCACCTCACGGTGGCCACGCTGGAGGAGAGGCCGTTTGTCATCGTGGAGCCTGCTGACCCCATCAGTGGCACCTGCATCCGAGACTCTGTCCCCTGCCGGAGCCAGCTCAACCGGACCCACAGGTGACAGCTTGGGATCCAGGAGTTCAGGCTCCAAAACCCTCCTCCAGTGAAGCCCAGTAATCCTGGCTCCCAGCCCCTTCCTCTCTTGGGACCCAGGACCCACAAAGCCCTCCAGCTTGATGACCTTGGGCAAACCCCAGAATTCTTTGAACCTCAGTTTCCCCTGAAAGCACTAACCATAGTTTTAGCTGCTGTCTGTCCGTTCCTCCATATCTTCTTTTTATGGGAGAGTCTAAGGAGGGGGTCCCCAAACTCCCCAAGCCTGGTCAATCCCCACAGCCCTCCCCCGGATGCCCCCCGCCCGGAAAAGCGCTGCTGCAAGGGTTTCTGCATCGACATTCTGAAGCGGCTGGCGCAGACCATCGGCTTCAGCTATGACCTCTATCTGGTCACCAACGGCAAGCACGGAAAGAAGATCGATGGCGTCTGGAATGGCATGATCGGGGAGGTGAGGGGCGGACGAGAGGCGGGCGGTCTTCGGGGCGGAGTCAAGAGGCGGGCACTGCCAGGCGCGGTGGCTTCACGCCTGTAATCCTAGCACTTTGGGAGGCCGAGGGGCGCGGATCGCCTGAGGTCAGGAGTTCGAGACCAGCCGGGGCAACACGGTGAAACCCTGTCTCTACTAAAATACAAAAAATTAGCCGGGCGTGGTGGTGCACCCCTGTCATCCCAGCTACTCGGGAGGCTGGGGCAGGAGAATCGCTTGAACCCGGGAGACGGAGGTTGCAGTGAGCCGAGATCGCGCGCCACTGCACTCCAGTCTGGGCCGCAGAGCGAGACTACATCCCCCCCGCAAAAAAAGACGCAGAGAGGCGGGCACGCTGAGGCGGGGGCTCGGCGGAATTGAGGGAACACCTGATTCTGGACCTGGGGCGGGGCTACGGGAAGGACAGGTCTTGGAACAAGGGGCGGGGTCAGGTGGCATCGGGGCGGGGCTTGGAGGAGGGACTTGGAGGCAGAGGAAGCGGGCTAGGAGGGTGGGACTGCTGGGGGAAAGGGGCGGGGCTGGGAGGAGGGACTTTGGGGTGGAGGAGGTGGGGCTAGGAGGGTGGAATTCCCACAGAAAGGGGGCGGGACTAGGTGGGGCTATGAAGGTGGAATTCCCACAGAAAGGGGGAGGGACTGGGGCAGTGGAGGCGGGGCTAGGAGGGCAAGGCTCCTAGAGGAAGGGGGCGGGGCTGGGAGGAGGAACTTTGGGTAGAGGAGGAGGGGCTGGGGGGAATCACGTGGGGCTGGGAAGGTGTGGACCAAGGCCTTGAGGACTTGCTGGAAGCAGCGGGATAGGACGCAGCCTACCAATTCCCAATCTTGTTCCCCATCTCTCACCTCCGGCTTTCCCTGCCCCACTCTGCGTCCCCCTCCTCACCAACCCCGCAATTCACTTCTCAGCCCCTTCCCTCACCCTGTCACTGGTCTGCTCCCGGGGGTCTCTGCCCGCTGTTCGTGTCAGTCTGCCAGCCTGAGCCGGGTTCCCTCGCCCACTTCTCATCACCCCCACCCCAGGTGTTCTACCAGCGCGCAGACATGGCCATCGGCTCCCTCACCATTAACGAGGAGCGCTCTGAGATCGTGGACTTCTCCGTCCCTTTCGTGGAGACAGGCATTAGCGTCATGGTGGCGCGCAGCAACGGCACGGTGTCCCCCTCCGCTTTCCTCGGTAAGCTGGGGCCCTGGGACAGGGAGCGAGACCTGGGCAAAACAGCCACCCCCAACCGTGTGGGCCCTGGGGTCAGAAAACCTTCGTTCCCGGTATCATCGGTACTGAACTCACAGTGCAACGTTGGTGAAGTGACATCATTTCTGAGCCTCAGTTTCCTAATCTGCAAGATGGAAGAAATAATTTCCCTACCCAGAAGACATTTTATCAAGATGCTAAAGAAGCTTGAGCCCCAGAGCCTTCTCTTGCACTGCAGCTGGTTTTATATTCATAAGGTTGAATTCTCTTAACGAGAGCCCTCCAAATTGTCCAAGCTTCAGGCCCCACAAAACCTAAGTGTTTCCCTGTATCCAGGTATGAGATGAAGAGAACAAATTAGCACAGTACCAGCACCTTGTAATTTTTTTTTTTTGAGACGGAGTCTTACTCCGTCACCCAAGCCAGAGTACAGTGGCACAATTCAGCTCACTGCAACCTCCACCTCCCAGGTTCAAGCGATTCCCCTGCCTCTGCCTCCTGAGTAGCTGGGACTGCAGGCATGCACTACCACACCCAGCTAATTTTTGTATTTTAGTAGAGACAGGGTTTCACTGTGTTAGCCAGGATGGTCTCGATCTCCTGACCTTGTGATCTGCCCACCTCGGCCTCCCAAAGTGCTTGGATTACAGGCATGAGCCACCGCGTTCGGCCACCCATCAGTATTTACTAACCACCTACTATGTGCCAGGCGGTGGGCTCCACATTGGGAACACAGTGGTAAATGAGGCAGACACAAATCCCTGTCCTGTAGGATCTCTCAGCCTTGTGAAGGAGACAGAAGATAACCTCTGTTGTTGTTGTTTTTTAATTTTAAAGATGGAGTCTCACTCTGTCACCAAGGCTGGAGTGCAGTGTTGCAATCTTGGCTCAATGCAACCTCCACCTCCCAGGTTCAAGCAATTCTCCTGTCTCAGCCTCCCAACTAACTGGGATTACAAGCATGTGCCACCACACTCGGCCAATTTTTGTATTTTTAGTAGAGAGGGAGTTGCACCATGGTGGCCAGGCTGGTCTTGACCTCCTGACCTTAGGTGATCTGCCTACCTTGGCCTTCCAAAGTGCTGGGATTACAGGCATGAGCCATTGCACCCGGACAAGAGTTTTAACTACAGAACATGGTGTGGGGGATATATAATCAGATTTAGGTTTTTAAGATATCTAAATCTAAATCTTTGTGTAATCCCAGCTACTCAGGAGGCTGAGGTGTGAGGATGGCTTGAGCCCAGGAGGCAGAGGTTGCAGTGAGCTTAGATGACACCACTGCACTCCAGGCTGTGTGACAAAATGAGGCCAGGCATGGTGGTCACACCTGTAATCCCAGAACTTTGGGAGGCCGAGGTGGGTGGATCACTTGAGGTCAGGAGATCAAGACCAGCCCGGCCAACATGGTGAAACTCTGTCTCTACTAAAAATACAAAATTAGCTGGGCATGGTGGCATGCACCTGTAATCCCAGCTACTCGAAGGTTGAGACATAAGAATCACTTGAACCCGGGAGGTGGAGGTTGCGGTGAGCCAAGATCACACCATTGCACTCCAGCCTGGGCAGAAGAGTGAAACTGTGTTTCCAATAAATAAATAAATATATTAAAAAAAGAAAAAATCCCTCTCTGTGGAAGTAAGTGGCTGGTGGGAATTCTACTGCAAGGTCCATGCCAGAGACGGAGTGGGGGTGTGCACTAGGAAGTGACAGTAGACAGACTCAGGGTGTGGTTAGGGAGCTGCCCAGCAGCAGGGCTGGTGGCTTTGAGATGGGTTGGGCAGAAGGCCCATTTCTGAGCTGGAGAAGCACACCGCCAAGGGCAGCTGTTCTTGTCAGTTTCCACTTGCTCTCTGAAGTCTGAGCAGAGCTCCCAGGAGAGGGGAGGGGCTGGAAGAAGAGCCATCCTCTCCTTTGTGTTTTGTTTTCTGTTTATTTTGCCCAGCAGTGTCTCCTGTGGCCTCCTCTTTGCACCCAGGTCTCTGCAGGGCATACTGAGACTCACCACGTGGGGTCCCTGCTTGCAGGCAGCACACTGCAGGGGAGTGACAAGGTCCTGTTTATGCCCCACCGAGCTGCCCTGCAGCTGTGATCCGAAGCTGCCGCAGTGACTGTCCAGGGTGCTGACCTTGCTGTGACAGGGGCAGTCCTGGCAGCTCACACTTGGCCCCAGGAAGTTGAATCACCTGGTCCTAATCTCAAGGAAATGGTGATTTGGGTTGATTGTTGGTGAGCTTCCAGGGACGACACACGGTCATTAAATGTGAGGAGGGGACACATGAATGGGAGGTTGTTTGATGGACAGGGCAGGGTGTTACCTCTAGCAGGGAAACCTAGGAGACAAGGAACAGAGGGTGTCAGTGGTTCGGGCACCTGTGAGGTTTTTGTTTTGTTTTGTTTTGCAATCTCAGCTCATTGCAACCTCTGCCTCCCGGGTTCAAGTGATTCTCCTGCCTCAGCCTCCAGAGTAGCTGGGACTACAGGCGCCCGCCACCACGCCCGGCTAGTTTTTGTATTTTTAGTACAGATGGGGTTTCACTATATTGGCCAGGCTGGTCTCAAATACCTGACCTTGTGATCTACCCACCTTTGCCTCCCAAAGTGCTGGGAATACAGGCCTGAGCCACCGCGGCAGACTGCCTATGAGACCTTTAATCTCCTTTAGTTCAAAGACTCCACCTGACAAATATCCACAGCTGTGATATCCCATGCTTCGGGAATATCATTTTGTGAGCCCCAACAATACATTGTGCTGGGAGTACAGGCGTGAGCCACTGTGCCGGCTTTTGCTTTGTTTTTTTTGTTTGTTTGTTTTTTGAGACAGAGTCTTGCTTGGTCACCCAGGCTGTAGTGCAGTGGCACGATCTCAGCTCGCTGCAACCTCCACCTCCTGGGTTCAAGCGATTCTCCTGCCTCAGCCTCCTGAATAGCTGGGATTACAGGCGCCCGCCAGGACACCCAGCTAATTTTTTGTATTTTAGTAGAGATGGGATTTCACCATGTTGGCTAGGATGGTCTTGAACTCCTGACCACAGGTGATCCTCCTGCTTTGGTCTCCAAGGTGTTGGGATTACAGGTGTGAGCCACTGAGCAGTTCTGAGTAGTTAAAGCATGGGTGCTTCAGAGAGTGATCAGGACAGAGAGGAGAGTGTGACAAGGCTGAGTGGCAGACACTTTGTCCTGGGGGTGCTAGGGAGCCCGGGGAGAGCTGTAAGCAGGGGAGGGGCCAGGTCCTCTCTGCATTGTGTGGGGGATGGGCTATAGGAGACAGACAGGAGCTCTGGAAGCTGGGGAGATGGTTGCTGGGAGGCGATGAGGCCTGAGCCCTGTTGGCCATGAGGATGGAGAGGAGAGGCCCAAATAGCATCAGGGGCGGGAGCATGGGTTGGAGACTGACACAGGCTGTGGCCAGCGAGGGAGTGGGGGGGAGGACTGCAAATGGAGTTTGAGCCTGTGACTGGGTGGATGGTGAGGCCCCCATTTGGGGAGCATGGGCGCTGGTCTGGGCTCAGCATGGGACATGATGAATGGCCTGGGGGGATGGCTGGGGTAGGTGGAGGCTCAGGCCTGTGGCTTAGGAAACATTTAGGAGATAGTTTCTGTTTGGTGGCTGAAACCACAGAAATGCCTGCCATGGCTCTCTTTGAAAATAGCTGCCTCCTAGGGGTCTGGGTGGGTCATAAGACTCTCTGAGATGGAGAACCAGAGAAAGGACCAGAATAGGATGGGGTCAGATCTGGGCTGCACCTCGTTCACTTGCTGTAGTACCCTAAGGTTTTTAAATTTTCTTTCTTTCTTTCTTTCCTTCCTCTCTCTCTCTCTCTCTCTCTCTCCCCCTCCCTCCCTCCCTCCCTCCCTCCCTCCCTCCCTCTCTCTCTCTCTCTCTCTCTCTCTCTCTCTCTCTCTCCCTCCCCCTCCCTCCCTCCCTCCCTCTTTCTCTCTCCCTCTCTCTCTTTTTTTGTAGAGACAGGGTCTCACTATGTTCAAGCCAGGCTAGTCTTGAACTTCAGGCGTCAAGTGATCCTCCTGCCTCAGACTCCCAAAGTTCTAGGAGTACAGGCGTGAGCCACCGCCCCAGCCTGATCCTGAGTCTTTTACTTGGCTGAGCCATGACCACGCACTCCCTTGTCCCCAGAGCCCTACAGTCCCGCCGTGTGGGTGATGATGTTCGTTATGTGCCTCACTGTGGTCGCCGTCACTGTTTTCATCTTCGAGTACCTCAGTCCGGTCGGTTACAACCGCAGCCTGGCCACTGGCAAGCGTGAGTCCCCCTTCCTCCATCCGCCTGCCGCGGAGCTACCTAACCACAGAGAGAACTACATTTCCCAGTAGGCCCCTGGGGTCAAGCTAGGGCCTTTCGAGGTGCCAGAGGCCTTGGGGGCCACTGGGAATTGTAGTTCTTTTTTTTCCCCGCTGCCTTATTGCGAAGGGATTTGGGGTCCATGTCCGCGTCCTGGCCCCCTGCAGGCCCTGGTGGCTCAACCTTCACCATTGGGAAATCCATCTGGCTGCTCTGGGCCCTGGTGTTCAATAATTCGGTGCCCGTGGAGAACCCCCGGGGAACCACCAGCAAAATCATGGTGCTGGTGTGGGCCTTCTTCGCCGTCATCTTCCTCGCCAGCTACACAGCCAACCTGGCCGCCTTCATGATCCAGGAGGAGTACGTGGATACCGTGTCTGGGCTCAGTGACCGCAAGGTGTGTGTGGGTCCAGGGCTGGGCTGGGGCTGGAGGTCACAGAGCTTGGCATGTGGTGGATTAGAAAGGATTCTTGGGGGTGGGAGGGTGGGGGCAGGGGTCTCTTCCCAAGGAGAATTCCAGAATGGTAGAAAGGAAGGTTGTAGATGAAGAAAGAACATGGTTCACCATGAGTTATTTAAAATATTCCTAGGGGAAGGGGTGTCCCTGAAAGTTCTAGGGGCAGTTGTGCCAAATGGGGTATTTTAGAACTGGTGCTTCTCTCAAACTGTGAGGAAGGATTCATTTTTGAAACTTCTAGTCCATTGCAGACCAATGCTTTTGTGAAATTCAATGGAAATGAATTACTAGAAAAGTAAAATAAGATCTAAAACCAAGACAGACAAAAGTCAAACCCAACCAGCCACAGTGGCTCACGCCTGTAATCCCAGCACTTTGGGAGGCCGAGGTGGGTGGATCACCTGAGGTCAGGAGTTTGAGACCAGCCTGGCCAACATGGTGAAACTCGTCTCTACTAAAAATTAAAAGAATTAGCCAGATGTGGTGGCGGGTGCCTGTAATCCCAGCTACTTGGGAGTCTGAGGCAGGAGAATCGCTTGAACTCGGGAGGCAGAGGTTGCAGTGAGCCAAGACTGGCCATTGCACTCCAGCCTGGGCAACAAGATTGAAACTCTGCCTCAAACAAACAAAAAGTCAAACCCTCAGTTTTATTATTAGATTCAACAGATGAAAAACAATCCTGTCGGCCAGGCACAGTAGCTCATGCCTGTAATCCCAGCACTTTGGGAGGCTGAGGCGGGTGGGTCACTGAGGTCAGGAGTTGGAGACCAGCCTGACCAACATGGAGAAAGCCTGTCTCTACTAAAAATACAAAATGAGCCAAGTGTGATGGCTCACGCCTGTAATCCCAGCTACTTGGGAGGCTGAGGCAGGAGAATTGTTTGAACCCAGGTGGTGGAGGTTGTGGTGAGCTGAGATTGGCCATTGCACTCCAGCCTGGGCAACAAGAGCTAAACTCTGTCTCAAAAAAAGAAAAAAGAAAACGATCCTGTAAAATCGCTCTCTAAATGCTCACTCCCTCCATTCCTGTATGCACCTCACTGCAATCGCGGTTTGCTGAGGGACTGGCAGTTTGTAGAGCACACTTTGAGACTAAAGTGATTCTCCAGCCGGGTGTCATGGCCTATTAGAGGCTCAAGAAATCAGTTTGATGGGTTGCAATACATTTTTTTTTGTTTGTTTTTTGTTTTTTTTTTGAGACAGTCTCACTCTGTTGCCAGGCTGGAGCACAGTGGCGCAGTCTCAGCTCACTGCAACCTCTGCTTCTTGGGTTCAAGTGATTCTCCTGCCTCAGCCTCCTGAGTAGCTGGGAGTACAGGCATGTGCCACCACACCCAGCTAATTTTTGTATTTTTAGTAGAGGTAGAGTTTCACCATGTTGGCCAGGATGGTCTCTGAACTCTTGACCTCAAGTGATCCACCTGCTCAGCCTTCCAAAGTGCTGGGATTACAGGCGTGAGCCACCGCACCCGGCCAACAATAAGCATTTTTTAATGGAGTGGAGAAGAATGGAATAGTTGATTGCATCTTATGTGGTGCATTTGGTTTTATAAAACTTGTTTTAGTCATATACACAGCTGACATTGAGCCAGCACACACCCATCTGGCTATATCTGTTGTTAAAACAGTGAACTATTTCTGAACGGATTGGTAAATAGCAACAGCCCCTGCCATGCCAGCCTCTCCCTCCAGGACCTCCTGTGATTCAGTAAGTGAAGGCTTAACTCCTGGCACATCAGGGACCTCAGGGAGGCTTCTCGTGACCTTTTGGATTATGTGTCTGCAACTGTGTGTGTGCTGAGTGCCAGTGAAAGCACATTTCCTAACGTAGTGAGCAAGTCTTGAGAAATACTGAATACTTCTGGGACTGGGGTGTCCACCAGATAGCGGATGTCTCTCAGAATGGGGGATTCATGTTAGGGATGTCCCTGTGGAGGGTGCCCTAATCACTCCTCATTCTGCCCCAGTTCCAGAGGCCCCAGGAGCAGTACCCGCCCCTGAAGTTTGGGACTGTGCCCAACGGGTCCACGGAGAAGAACATCCGCAGCAACTATCCCGATATGCACAGCTACATGGTGCGCTACAACCAGCCCCGCGTAGAGGAAGCTCTCACTCAGCTCAAGGCAGGGTCAGCGCAGACTCGGGGGCCAGGGGTGGAGGTGGGGCCACTGGGGACCTGAGGATGCTCAAAGATGGCAAGGGGTCAAGGTTCATTCATTCAGCCCCAGAGGTCAGCCCTGGGGGGGGTCAGCTCAGAGGGTGGAAATGGACTCCTCCTCCCAGGAGCAGGGTCCCTGGGATATTTTCAGGGATACAGTTCTGGATTCTGGGGTGAGACTGCCAGGGCTCCAGTCTTTGCTCTTCCCTTTCTTGGCTTTGTGACCTTGAGCAAGTTACTAAGCCTCTCTGAACCTCTGCTTCCTCCTCTGTAAAATGAGGATAACAAGAGTATCTCCGCTGTAGTGATCATAAGGTCGTTATAAGAATTAAACTAGTTAAAAAAAAAAAAAAAAGAATTAAACTAGTTTAGCCAGGCATGGTGGCTGGCTCCTGTAATCCCAGCTACTCCGGAGGCTGAGGCAGAAGAATCGCTTGAACCCGGGAGGTGGAGATTGCGGCGATCTGAGATCGTGCCGTTGCACTCCAGTCTCGGCAACAAGAGTGAAACTTCGTCTCAAAAAAATAAATTAATTAATTAATAACAAAGAAAAGAAAAAGAATTAAACTAGTTAATCCACTCAGAACATGTATAACAGTGCCTGGCGCACTGTAGGTGCTTGCTGCTGTTTCCATTATCCTTAGACTGAACTCACTGGAATCAGTCCTTGGATTGCATTTTTTATCTTTTTACATCCCTTTGCCGAATCATAGGGACGAAGTTAAATTCAGAGACTAGGCACAGTGGCTCACGCCTGTGATTCCAGCACTTTGGGAGACGGAGGCTGACAGACCACCTCAGGTCAGGAGTTCGAGACCAGCTTGGGCAACATGGTGAAACCATCTCTATTTAAAATACAAAAGTTAGGTTGCATGTGGTGGCGCGCATCTGTAATCCCAGCTGAGGACTTTGGGAAGCCGTGACGGGCAGATCGTTTGAGGTCAGGAGTTCAAGTACAGCCTGATCAACATGGTGAAACCTTACCTGTTTTTATATCTTAAAATATAAAAATTAGTCAGGCATGGTAGTGGGCACCTATAATCCCAGCTGCTTGGGAGGCTGAGGCAGGAGAATTGCTGGAACCTGGGAGGTGGAGGTTGCAGTAAGCCGACATTGTGCCATTGCACTCCAGCCTGGGCAACAGAGAAAGACTCCGTCTCAAAAACAAAACGAAATAAAAAACGTTGAGTTCAGGCCCCAAAGTGCAGCCCATGATTCCAATAAGAATGAGGACAGTAACTCTCTCCCCATCCCGCATTCACTCGGTACTTCTGTGTGTATTTCTTCTTCTCTATTCTATGCCAGGCAGTGAACAAATAGACCTGCTTCGTAGGCCAAATGGTGGGAAATGAACAATAAACATGCAGACAGAAAAATCAAGATCTTTTCAGAAAGTGATGGTGAGCTAGAGGGCGGTTGGACTGGGATATTTTCACCTGGTGTTTGCGGCAGGTTTCTCAGGAGGTGACATTTGTGCAGAGCCCTGCCGGAGGTGCAAGAGCTAGCCAGGTGGACTTATGGAAGCAGAGCCTTGCAGGTAGAGGGAACAGGGTGTGCAAAGGGCCTGAGGTAGGTGTGGCGTTGCTTTAGTGAAGGAACAGCAAGAAGGCCAGTGTGGCTGAAGGGCTAGGAGCTGAGATGAGAGGGTAGATGAGGGGAGGATTCCAGGCATGAGGCCAGGGTCAGGGCTGGACTTTATACTACGGGCAGTGAGAAGCCATGGGGAGTGGAGACTTTAAGGAAGGAAGGCTATGATCTGATTTCTGTTTTTTTTTTGTTGTTGTTGTTATTGTTTGTTTTGAGACAGGGTCTTGCTCTGTCACCCAAGCTGGAGTGCAGTGGTTGAATCTCATCTTACTACACCCTCTGCCTTCTGGGGGGTCAAGCAATTCTCCCACCTCAGTCTCCTAAGTAGCTGGGATTACAGGCATGTACCACTATGCCCAGCTACTTTTTGTATTTTTGGTAGAGATGGGATTTCACATGTTGGTCAGGCTGGTCTTGAACTCCTGACATCAGATGATCCGCCTGTCTCAGCCTCTCAAAGTACTGGGATTAGAGGCATGAACCACCAAGCCCAGCCTAAAAAAATTTCTCATGCCAGATGCAGTGGCTCATACCTGTAATCCTAAAGCTTTGTGAGGCCAAGATGAGAGGATCACTTACGGCCAGGAGTTCGAGACCAGCCTGTGAAACATAGTGAGACCCCTTGACTCAACAAAAAAAAAAAATTTTTTTTGAGACAAAGTCTCATTCTGTTGCCTAGGCTGGAGTGCAGTGGCTTGATCTCGGCTCACTGCAACTGCTGCCTCCAGGTTTAAGTGATTCTCCTGACTTAGCATCCCAAGTAGCTGGGACTACAGGTGCCCACCAGCACACCTGGCTAATTTTTATATTTTTAGTAAAGATGAGATTTTGCCACGTTGGTGAGGATGGCCTCAAAATCCTGACCTCAGGTGATCCACCTGCCTCAGCCTCCCAAAGTGCTGAGATTACAGGCATGAGCCACCACGCCTGGCAAACAAAATAAAATTTAAATTAGCCAGGCATCCTGGTGTGCACCAGTAGTCCCATCTCCTTGGGAGGCTAAAGTGGAAGGATCACTTGAGCCCAGGAGATAGAGGCTGCAGTAAGCTATGATCACACCACCACACTCCGGCCCTGGTAATAGAGCCTTAGACCCTGTCTCCAAAAAAAAAAAGAAAGAAAGAAAAAAATATTTAAGAGCACCAGCTTTATGCCAGGTGTAGTTCCTGCACTGGGTAACAATAGTTAACAAAATAGGTCAGTTCCCCACATCAGCCAGGAATGCTTTAACAGAGGGTTCTTTATCTCTCACAATAAGAGATTGTGCCAGTCCAGGGCTGGCATAATAGCTTAAAAATACCATTAACAGGCCAGGCTCGGTGGCTCACGCCTGTACTCTCAGCACTTTGGGAGGCCGAGGTGGGTGGATCATGAGGTCAGGAGTTTGAGACCAGCCTGGTGAACAAGGTGAAAGCCCGTCTCTACTAAAATTTACAAAAATTAGCTGGGCGTGGTGGCGGGTACCTGTAATCCCAGCTACTCAAGAGAGCTGAGGCAGGAGAATCGTTTGAACCCAGGAGGTGGAGGTTGCAGTGAGCCAAGATTGCACCATTGCACTCCAGCCTGGGTAACAAAACAAGACTCTGTCTCAAAAAAAAAAATACCATTAGCAATCTGAAATCTGCCTATAATCCCAGCACTTTGGTAGACCGAGGTGGGTGGCCTGGCCAACATGGTGAAACTCCATCTCTCCTAAATATAAAAAATTAGCGGGGCATGGTGGTGGACGCCTGTAATCCCAGCTACTCTGGAGGCTGAGGCAGGAGAATTGCTTGAACCCAGGAGGTGGAGGTTGCAGTGGGCTGAGATCACACCACTGCACTCCAGCCTGGGCCACAGAATGAGACTCTGTCTCAAAAATAAAAAAATCTGAATGAACTCTTTCCACATTTTTCTTCCACTGAGCTTGCAGCGTAGACCTTGCTCATTTTGGTTACCTCATGGTCATGAAAAGGGGGCTGCCCCTCCGTGGGGCACAGTAGTTGCAAGGCAAGCAGTGGGAGCAAGGGTAAAAGAGTGGAGGATCTTGCCTGGTGCAGCGGCTCATGTCTGTAATCGCAGCACTTTGGGAGGCCGAGGCGGGTGGATCACGAGGTCAAGTTCAACACCACCCTGGCCAAGATGGTGAAACCCCATCTCTATTAAAACTACAAAAATTAGCCAGGTACGGTGGCAGGTGCCTGTGACCCCAGCTACTCGGGAGGCTGAGGCAGGAGAATCGCTTGAACCCGGGTGGCAGAGGTTGCAGTGAGCCGAGATTGTGCCACTTCACTCCAGCCTGGGCGACAGAGTGAGACTCCGTCTCAAAAAAAAAAAATAGTGGAGGATTTTCTCCTGGCCAGTGTTTGCCTTATTACTGGGGAAAGTACACCTTTCACAGAGACTTCTGGCTGTTTCAGATGGCCACTATTCGCTGCAAGGGAAGCTGGGAAATTGAGTGTCAGCCTTCCAGCCTTAGTCTAGAAAAAAGCCAAGGAAGAGGCTGTAAATGGACAGATGGTAGCCAGGCTGTCTATGAGTCCTGACCTCGTGGAGTATATTTTGCCACCTAGCCTTTTCTCTCTAGCACATTTTTCTTCTCTAGTGTTCTATCCTCAGTCTCTCTCTGTCAATTTCTGGGGACACGTGGTCTCTTGTCTCCGATCTGTGTGTCCTATCTGTGCTTTCCTTGCAGTCCTCTCATTTCTGATACTCAGGACTTCAGCACTTTCTTATCAGTGACCTCTTTTTTTTTTTTTGCGATGGAGTTTTGCTCTTTTTGCCCAAGCTGGAGTGCAGTGGCATGATCTCGGCTCACTGCAACCTCCACCTCCCGGGTACAAGTGATATTCCTGCCTCAGCCTCCTGAGTAGCTGGGATTACAGGCCTGCACGCCCAGCTAATTTTGTGTTTTTAGTAGAGATGGGGTTTCACTATGTTGACCAGGCTGGTCTCGAACTCCCGACCTCAAGTGATCTGCCTGCCTCGGCCTGCCAAAGTGCTGGGATTCCAGGCCTGAACCCCCAGGCCCAGCCCGGTCACCTTTTCTTTATCTCCCCTCAGTAACTGCTCGTCTTTCTGCCCCACTCGAGTCCTTTGGAACAATTGCCTCTTCCTCCTTCACCCTCCTCCTTGAAGCATCATTAACACGATGTGGGTTTTCTCACAGACTTTTTTAAATTTTTCAATTTATCACACCATCAGTTCCAGCAAAATGACACATAGGGACACTTGTGATTATTCTGGGCTCACCCAGGTAATCCAGAATCATCCCCCATTTCATGGTCCTCAACTTAATCACACCCACAAAATCACTTTTGTGATGTAAGGTAACATATTCACAAGCTGCAGGTTTTAGGGTATGGACATCTTTGTTTCAGAGAGACATTATTCTGTCCACCACA